GCAGTGCCATCCCCCCCCCCCCCCAAGGGATTTCTTTCTTGCTCTGTGCGTCTTTCTGGCGAGTGCAAGCGCCCTATAGCAAAAGAGCGAGAGAGAAAAGTTAGGGCAGAGAGATCCTTTGCCTTAAATGACCTAGGACAGCATCCGGGTGTTTTCCTAACACAGCGTGTTCAGACAGGCTGCTAGGCTGTTTCTGCCATAATGAGAGACCCCTTTCACCAGAGGTGGGGTGTTTTACCCCTGATAGTGTGCATCTAGGATACTTTGAAATGCGAGACACTGGCCCGGCGTGCCGAGCTCTTCCGTGGGCAGTTCCCAGCGTAAGTGACTGTCAAAGCTCCAAATCAGCATGTGCCCCTCACTCCCCATCTTCCTGCAGCCAGGTCAGAGTCCGAGCTTGCTGGGAGTGTGCTGATTCCGATCTCAGCACCACATCCTCCCACTGAGCTCCTTAGGCCTGCAGTTTGCTTCACCCCCTGTGTCACTACACTGGGATGAGAATCTAGTTCTAGGAGGATCAGAGGCACTGGGCACTTTTGCTGAGTCCTTCAAAACTTTGCCCAGAAAATCACCACTTCTCTGTGATCTCTGCTTATAGGAAAGACTAGAAAGCTGGGGCAGTGCCCTGGGCTTCCCAGGCCAGTGGAGAAGGGCTTGTCTACAGAGCTCTGCCCCTTCAGCCTCCTGTCAGCCGAGTTTCCAGTTCTTAAGGAGGGTCAGGAAGAGTCTTGCAGGCATCAAGATCTGTCAAGTCACTGACTCCCACAAAGCTGAAAGCTGGGGAGTCCTGAGGTCCTGCAGGGGTGGGACTAGGGTAGAGGAGGTCCAGCAGAAGCCCAGTGCTGGAACCCCCAGCTATGTTTCCAGTAGGGACCCACTGTGGAGGTGCTTCCTTCCGGCTTCTTTTCCTTGCTCTCTCAGTTAGGAGCCTGCTTCTGATCTAGGGACCATCGAAGTCAAAGTGGTTGCACTTGGTCTCCTGCACCTCAAAGCCCAGCTTCAGGTCTGAGACCTTCACTCTGACCCCAGACAGTGTGGAGCCACCTTTGGTGAGGACCAAACCACCCAGGGCAGCCGTGTGTGCCTTCTTGGCCTTGGGACCGGGCTCCTATGTCACACTGTGGACATTCAGTTTAGGGAGATGCCTCAGGAAAGGCTCAGATCCTGGCGGGACAGAGGCCCTCCTTCCTTGGGGGGCAGATCTAGCTTAGCTTGAAGCAGGCACTGATTAAAGCTCGGATACAGGCGTGAAGAGGGAGACCTGATTTATCTCCTTTCAGGAACTGCCCTCTGCGCACCACGCGCGTGCGAGGCCTTGGCCAGCATGTCCCGTGGGGGTGAGAAAGCCAAGGCCAGTAACAGAGCCTCCATTCCACCAGCTTCCGGTTCCCACCCTCCAGAGCCCCAGCTTTCTGTCTCTTTACGTCTCTGAGACTGGAGCTGGACTCAGATGTGATTAATTTGCAAGTTTTGTTTTAAATGGGATTTTGGAATAATAATGTTTAAAAATGCTTAGACCCTGCCCTCTCCACTTCATGGATTCGCCTGGCGCTGCTTGGTCTCCCTTTCTCCCCACCACTCTCCGCGGTCACTCTGCCCTCTTCAGATCTCTCCAGGACAGTAGTAAAAAGCTAAGCCCATCAGAGAAAAGCCAAGCCTCCAGCAACAGATCTCCAGAGAGCCTGCAGTTCTGGTCAGTGGCCAACTTTACTCACTGGGAGCAGGAAGTGCCCATCGGAGAGCTGGGAATGGAGTTGCACTCAGACCTGGGCAAGGGGCACCTTCGTGGGCAGGCTCAGGGGTCAGACTAAAGAAACTAGCTTCTAACCAGGGAAATCCTCTCCACTTCCAGGTCCAAGGGCCTTCCTTTTGTGGCCACCAAAAATGTCGGTGAGGGGCCTGGATAGGGAACAGGTAGGTCTACGACTCCAGCACTAGACTGTTCTTCCAGGGACCTGCCCTCCGGAGGAGAGACTGCAACAGAATCTGAGCTCGTTCTTGCCCAGGGAGGCTGAGGCTTCTACTCAGAAACGACTTTATCACCCACTTTCTAACTTTGTTTACAGTTTGGGATTGTGAGGAACCCAGGGACCGCAAGAAGACAGCGGTAACCTGGGGAAAGAGCAGAGGCCCCAGCGAGACCAGCAAGCCCAGCCTTGCTACTTCTCTGTGGTCCCTAACACCTGACCCTTTGTAGTTCAAGGCAGGGGTGAGCGCTGGGGTGAGTGCTAGGAGTGTGGTAGAAAGCTCAGGGGAGGAGAAAGATGAGTTAGTGGACCTTGCACCAAACACTCCGTCAGATAATGCCAGGGCTCTTCGGGACTGGGGGGTCCCAAGTGGCTGATCCTCAGCTGAAGCCAAGGGAACCCTTGGGGAGTGGGTAGGGTTCCTGATCCCCTCAAAGCAGATACAAAATAAAGTCTGAACTCCCAACTGAAGACAGGGTTTTCACCCCTGAAAGATGTAAAGTTCAACGCTAGTGGAATGCAAAATTCACTTTAAACTCTAGTACAGTCTTCAACTAAAAGGAAAGCGAGTTTCGAATTATGAATCAGAAAATAAAAATAAGGACAAGGAAGTTGTGAGAAACACCTGAGGATGCCCTCGAAGGAATTTTAAAGAGAATGTATATAAGGGCGGGTGAGAGGTTAAACAAACACCCTCCTTATCCTTTTCAAGGGAGAACCCCAGAATGATCGGCAAATCCGGCCCTAAGGGATCCTAACTCTACTCCCTTTCCCAGGCAGCTCCTTCCACCTCCTCCCATTCACGGAGGGAAAATGCTCCACCGACTTCTAATTTTATTTAAAATCTCAGCACTCGATCATTTATTTCGTTTTTTTTTTTTTGCAACCAAACAGGTAATAAATATTATTTAGCACTTTTTTTTTTTTTACAAAAATAAAACAGATGATACACTCTGCGAGGGGCAGAACACAGGGGGACGTTACACCGCGCCGCTCCCAAGCCAGAATTGCAACACAGGCCGCGCCCGGCAGTGTGCGGACGGACGCAGAAGCACGTGGGGAAGTTCGCCGTTTGTGTTAAACATGGCAAAAAGAAACCGATATAGAGGGAAACCGGTTTATACCCCGGTGGGCTGGCAGTCACGTGAGCAAATAGCATGTGCACTCACCTCACCACTGACATTATATGTACACGTTCAAGAAGGAAAATTTTAAACAGCCAACAGAACCCCCCAAATAACTCACATTATATTCACAGCAACTGCCTTTCAGTTCTGTCAAGCCCTTGGGTACCAAAATGACTGCCCCCAATCAGGAAAGAAACCAAATCACTTTGTGCTCAGGGGTGGAAAGAATGGGGAGTATAATTTCTATTTTAAAATAGCTTTAAAAAAAACTCGCTCCCCAAATTGGCAGTTCAGGGCGTTCCAATCCACAAGTGGTTCAATTCTGAGTGTCTATAAAGCTGGCTCATTCTGCTGAAAAGGAACAGCCACGGATTTATTAGAAAACCACGAACCCCCAAATCAACAGGAGAGACAGGGAGGACCACTCACAGTCTTAGACCGTGTGGGTTTACCCAGAGATCAAGGTTGGGCACGATCTTAAGTGCTTCTGGTGCCAAATACCGGCTTTCAACGAACACATCGTCCCTGAGAGGCCCAGGGTCTCTTCTGCAACTGGGCTCTCCAAAATTTCCTACGGCCCAAGAACGGAGGAAGGAAAAGGCCCCAATGTGCCCCCTCCCTCCAAGTGCCTTAGCAGAGTCCCGGAGTCAGGTGGTGCTCTCGGATAAACTAGTTTGGAGTCTTTCCCGGGAATGGGGTCTTGGGGGCGTGAGGAGGACAGTTGGAGTGAAGGACGCACAACGCGATGCCTTTTATAAAATGGTGTTTCCTGGCCTAGCACAGTTTAAAGCCGCAGAGGGCTCCATCAGGTCTCAGAGCGATTGCCCCTTCTCGCTCCCCACTGCTCTGCGTTCGCTTCGATTTTGGGGTGCCGGAATCCCCACCATCTCCCACCCCTAGTCCATGGTCCTGCTCAAAACAAGAACTCCCAAGCCCCAGCGCCGGACAGTCCTCGCTTCCCCGCGGCCTTCTGGCCCCCTGCTCGCCAAAGCCCTTCTGCGCGGCCGGCTCACTTGGCATCGGAGGTGAGGCGCGGCAGGCTGCCTGCGCCCAGGGCCGACACGTGGTGATGGGGCGGCGGCACCTGGCACATGCTGCAAGGGCAGGGCATGCCGCCCCAGTGCTGGAAGCCCCCGCTGCCCCCGCTGCCGCCGCCCCCGCTCCCCAGCGGGGCAGCAGCGGC